TGAACTCCAGGAGAGGAAAATGAGAGTGAAGAAAGGGCACCAAATTAATTATCAAAGCATTTCATACATCTACACCTTTAATTCTTTTTATAAAATCTTACAATATAAGTGGAGACTGTTCAGCCCATTGTACCTGTGCTGTAACTTAAAAATCTGAAAAGTAAAATCCAACTCATTTCTCATTGAGTTTAGACACTGGAGGGTTATCTAATCAAAAGGTGTGTAAGATGGTTGCGGGATTTGACAGAGTGGATACAGAGAAACTATTTCATATGGTAGGTGTATCCTGAACAAAACTCTAATCCAAACCAGTCGTTTGGGGAACACAAAACTCTAGCAGTACAGCGCTGAGTTTATAGTTGGACCAAAGTTTGAATTGTAATCTCTTTAGATGATGCAACTCATCAACTCTCATTAAGCATGTTTCTATTGATCTTGGCTAAGGCCACAGACACAGCATCATATAATAATGGAGTGTGTCTTCATACATCAAGGGGAAACTACCCTGGCAAACCTGCCTGTTCCAGCCAACTGTCTAAGGACATTGATGGTAGTGATGGAAGTTACTAAATTAATATGAACCAGCCCTGACCTTGTTCCTGCCAGAGGCAACACAGGAAGCAACCTGGCAGTAAAGGAAAACTACAACAATTAGTGTAAAAGCTTTAAAATAACCCTTTTCTGAGAAGAACATAACTTAATTAGTGATAGAATTTTCCTTCAGAATAAACAAGGAACATTGTGATTACCATAATTCAAATAAAGTCAGAGACAAAGAGGAAGAACATTTAGACTTGCATAACTGGACTGTTTACACAGCTCTACTCGGATTTATTCAGCAGTCAAGCTGCATTTCACATGCAGCTTGTTAAGTCCAACTCTCCTACACTGGCTTTTTGACAAGAGCACTGTAAATTCTTCACAAGGGCCTCATTGTCTAATAATATAAATGTGTTAACACTGTAAATTACAGTCCTCCTTCTCTCTTCCTGTGAGAACCAAGTACAAGACGTTATTTAGTTTGTAAAAAGACCTTGAGCTGTGTCAGACACAGGTGGTGAATCCAATTTTTGTTTCGCTTCTTTAAACCTCAGCAAATATTAAGACTGAAGCTCTCAACTAAGAATCATATTTGGTATCAGTGTTAGAAAATGCAAGTCTTATTTTAGGAATTGAGTGGAACCTAGCTTGATAATTTAATGCAATACAGGTAAAAAAACATTGCTTTGTGGATAGGCATCTTGTAGACAAAATGTCCACACCTTGTTCCAGTCGTTCACTGTTGTTCAAATGGCAGGAAGTTCTGACCAGTATTGATAGCTGGTACAGATTGATTAATTTGTCTGTTAGTAGAAGCTAGCCCTCCTGAAATTGCCTGCTATATTCACCTACAGAATGACAAGGGTGGTACTTTTGATTAACTGTGGAGCACTTTGAATAGCCTGAAAGTTCATAGGGTGTTTTGTAAAACTAAGTTCTCTCCTTCGACTTCTTCCACACCAGAAAGCATATAATTGGCACTCTACATGGATTGATTCAATTAAAATATGAAGTAATTATCAAATGAAATGATTCTTATAGATTTATACAAGAATTCATTACCTCTCACAGCTTGATGGTTGTTCTGAATTGTGAAAACACAAAATTCAAAATTATCCTTCTATAGGAAGGGTGTTATTAAACTGGAAAGGGTGCAGAAAAGATTCACAAGGATGTTACAGAGACTGGAGGGTTTGAGTTAAGGAGGGACTGGATAGCTGGGACTTTTTTTCTCTACAGCACAGGAGGCTAAGGGATGACCTTTGTAAAATCATGAGGGGCATGGATAAGGTGAATAGCCAAGATCCTTTCCCCATGGTAGGGGAGTCCAAAACTAGAGGGCATAGGTTTAAGGTGAGAGGGGAAACATTTATAAGGGACGTGAGGGTCTTTTTCACACAGTGGGTAGTACATGTATGGAACGAACTGCCTTGGGAAGTGGTAGAGTTACAACTTTTAAAAGACATTTGGACAGGTACATGAATAGGAAAGGTTTAGACTATATAGGCCAGTTGCAGGCAAATGGAGCTAGTTCAGTTTAGAAAGCCTGGTTGGTATAGACGAGTTGGACCAAGAGTCTGGTTCTGTGCTGTATGACCCTATAACTCTATAAACGAAAGCCCAAAAGTGGTTTATAACACACTGCACCAATGCAAAGTCTTCACCGAGGTTCCCTAACAATGCATGCTTTAATTTCCCATCACTGAACATAGCCTGTGTTTTTGCAGGGTGTCTTTACGAATACTGAGAATATGTGCATCTTGAAGGGACCAACACCTGTGCGTAGCCTGGAAAGCATTTTCCCCAATTGTTGCACAGGAGAGCACCTACTGATGGGGAAAACATTTAAATCTTACACCAACAATAATTCTAATCTGAATGATTAGAAATCCATATTTGTAAATATTAATTTTCAGTGCCACAGAGTTTGGTTGTTAGTTAAGATGACACATGCTGTTGAAAATTAAGTTACATGTGAAATTGACCAGTTTTGGTTGGTGGTGTGTTTAGTGCATACATACCAATTCTTCCAAGCCCTCATGGATTCCAATATCAAGTGTCCATGAGATATTGATCTCGTAAAGCATGTAAAGGAGCAAGGGAACACACATCAATTTTGAGACTTTCACCTTTAGCTGTACATGGACACCAGATGTTACTGTCCAATTTACTCCCCAATAACAGTAAAAGCTGTTAGCATAACTGCTATACCTACTGCAAAATCCAAGCTACGGCCATAACTTGAGGATTTTCTTAAAAGAACCTAGATTGAATTTGTTTTGCGCATGTTTAACATTTCAGCAAAATTCTGTGACGAAGTGAAAAGTGAAATGAAACTTTCATTCCCAGTTAGTGCTCTTCAACTTCAAGAATTGGCTTTCAACTTATTTCAGAAAAAGCTGCCACAAGATAGCTGTTCAGTGTTGACAGGGAACTTGACATGAGATTGCTCACAGCAGTGGTAAATCTACAGATAACAACAATGGAGAAAACCTAATAGTAATTTATTTATACCTTAATTCATGGATTCAGCAATAGCCAAAAACACATGGTACATTGATTAGATCTGATGTCCAGAGTGAAGGAGATTAAAGTTCACTCTAATGGCAAAGCTATTCCACTTGTATGAAGGTCAAAATGTTTTTGTTCTTTTTATTCCCTTGCGAGACTTGGACACCACTGGTTGGCCAGCATTTATTGCCCATTCCTTGTTGCCCTTGAGAAGGTGGTGGTGAGCTGCCTTCTTGAACCACTGCAGACGATATGCTGTAGGTAGACTAATATGCCTTTAGGGTTGGAATTCCAGGATTTTGACCCAGCAACAGTGAAGAACGGCAATATATTTCCAAGGCAGGATGCAGTGTGGCTTAGAGCGGAACTTGTAGGTAGGTGGTTGCATTCCCATTTGTCTGTTACCTTTGTCCTTCGAGATGGAAGCGATCATGTGATTGGAAGGTGCTGTCTGAGGATCTTTGTGCCTTGTAGATGGTAAACAGGCTTTGGAGAGTCAGGAGGTTGGTTAATTGCTGCGATGTTCCTAGCATCTTTACCTGTTATCATAGAATTCCTACAGTGTGGAAACAGGCCATTCTGCCCAAGAAGTCTACACTGACTACCCAAAGACCATCCCACCCAGACTCACCTCCCTACCCTATCTCTGTAACCCTGCATTTTCCACGACTAATCCACCTAACCTACACATCCCTGGACACTATGGGCAATTTAGCATGGTCGATCCACCTAACCTGCACATCTCTGGACTGTGGGAGGAAACCCACGCAGACTCCACACAGAGTCACCCAAGGGTGGAACTGAATCCAGTCCCTAGTGCTGTGAGGCAGCGGTGTTAACCACTGAGCCACGGTGTTGCTCCGGTTCTTGTAGCTGTTGTATTTATATAGCGAGTCCAGGTGAGCATCTGGTCAATGGCAATCCGCAGGTTGTTGAGAATGGGGGATTCAGTGATGATAATGCCAAAACTTTCAAAGGACAATGATGAGATTGTCTCTTATTGGAGACGTCATTGCCTGGCATTTGTGTGGAGTGAATGCTAATTGCCACTTTTCAGCCCAAGCCTGGATATTGTCCAGATCTTGTCACATTTGAACACGGACTGCTTCAGTATCAGAAAAATCGCAAATGGTGCTGAACAATATGCAGTCCTCGGCGAACATCCCTGCTTCTAACCTTATGATGGAGAGAAGGTCATTGATACAGCGCTGAAGATGTTTGGGCCTAAGATGCTACCTTGAGGAACCACTGCAGAGATGTCCTGGAGCTGAGATGACTGTTCTCCAACAACTACGACCATCTTCCTATGTGCCAGGTAGGACTCCAACTTGTTTTATAAATGCTCATTGAGCCATAATTAAAATCAGTCAGGAGAGATGGTGGCACAGCGTAATGTCACTGGACTAGCAATCCAGCAGCCCAAGCGAATGCTCTGGGCACGGAGAGTCAAATTTCACCACAGCAGCTGGTGGCATTTGAATTAATAGATAAGTGTGTAATATAAGGCTGGTGTGATTAAACTATCATCAATTGTTTCTAAACAAAAATGACTGATCAATGTCCTTTAGTGAAAGAAATCAATTGTCCTTATCTGGTTTGATCTTACACGTGACTCCAGATCCACAGCAACATGGTTGACTCTTAACTGCCCTCTGAAATGTTTTAATAAGTCACTTTGTTCAAGGGCAATTATTGACTGGTAACAAATGCCTGTCTCGCCAGAGATGGCCACATCCCATCAGAATATTAGAAAGAAGCTTTGAAAAACGTTGAAAATTATTTTAGATGGACAGTGTCAATGTGATCTCTCTCAGCTAACCAGGACTTGGTGTCAATGTAGGATGTAAACTCTGCTTCTCTAGAAGCAGAGAAGTTCAACAGTGGAATATGACACTATACAGATTTACTTCTTCAACCATTGACCACTTCGAATAACAAATAAAAGCCAGAACTGTAATATCACTTTATTTAAAGTTTTCTCTATATATTTTAATGCCAATCAGTATCAGACCAGTCTATCCCACAATATGGGTTTATAAACAAGTCATCATTAACTGGCACATATGCACCCTGACTACTATATCATATATACACATTTAACTATACAAAATACATACTAGTCAGGTCAGTTAACAGCAAAAGTCAAAACACTTTTACTCTCGTCACCAGTCATCCCGAACAGCACACCATCAACTCTGGTTTATGAACTCGAAATTCATCACTGTACAAGGTAAAAATGCATATTCAACACTTTTTGAAAACCTCTGGTATAGAATTGAAGTACAAGTACACTCTCTTAAAACTGGCAAACACAGGACCAAGGCCACAACAGGTCTTGGATTTTGCCAAATTTTGGGTTGGGGAATATTGGCAGTTTGGGCCAATTTGGGTTGATGGGTTTAAGGCTGCTTGGAGCATGGGAATAGATTGATACATAAGCAGCAAAATAGGTAAGTTTAGCACTACTCAGCACCTCGCCAAACTATTCTAGGTATGTTTATTTTACTAGAAAAAAATCCATGAAATTCTAAAGATGTTCAGCTGGTTTTGAGAGGGTGGACCTGTACATGATTCCAGTAAAGCAGTCCCACAGACTTCTACGATTATGGCTAAAACAAACACAATTGGCATCCCACAGCTTTGCAATAATGACTTACAAATGCTTTCCATTCTAGATAACGAAGGGACAATATTACTTACATCCATCTTTAATAATCAAATATCCCCCTCTGCTGGCTGATTTAGGAATCGTATTCTACTGTCATGATCAGACTCACTCAGTGGACTCCAAAACGGTGTAAAAAAATTAACAGGATATTACTTAACATGTACTTTTCTTAAGACTGTATCTTACTCAAGGGCCATAGAGTTTGTGGTGTGCCAGTTGGTTCAGGGATGACATTTAACCTCAGCAGGCTGTGACTGTTGGATCCAGACCCGAGCGCTTGGTGATGTTTAATTTATTCACATCTTCTGCACAGGTTGGATGGATGCCTACGGTAGATGACAGCTGAGAGTATGTAGCATTGCATCTGGAAAAAAAATGCAAGATTAAATCTTAATAAAATAGATATTTGGTAAAAGACAGATGAACAAAGAGGTACAGGCTTACAATGTGACAAAATTTACAGCACATAAACAGGCTATTCTGTTCCATGTAGATGAACATAAAAGTTAGGAGCATGAGAAAACCAACTGGCTCCTCTAGCCTGCTCCACCATTCAACAAGATCATGGCTGATCTGATTGCGGCCTCAGTTCCACATTCTCACCCATCCAAAATGCTCTACACAAGTTTCCTTCCACCTCACTTCTCACCCGTCAATATGTCTAATTTTTTGCTCCTTCATGTACATATTGACTGTCTTCATCCTTCCTTTAACAGTGAATTCTAGTAGCAAAGAACTTTTCCTATCTCCCTAGGTTTTCTCCTGGATTTGTTATATTGATATGGAGACACCTCTTTATTTACCATTGGGCCCCAAGCATGTACATATACACAGATATATCTTTACATGAGGGCACTATGTATGCCAAGAGCGACGAAGAGTGAATCTTGCATACTGAGGCTTTCAGACAGCTCTCGAAATGGGTAGGAAGGCTGGGACAAACCAACAATTAAAATTATTACTAAAATTTTGATCTAGTTTAAATAAAAGCACATGAAGTCTGGCACAAAGGAATTGTGTTCTTTATTCCTCCCAACAAGACTATAATTCTTCTCACAAAACAGCAACTATTCATTATAGGGAGCATCATAAACATATAATTTACTAATGACTCACGAAGAGGTAGATGAATGGGGTCTCTTAGGATCTATTAATTTTCTAAGTACATAAGGTGGTGCTAGAATGGCACTGCCTGAACCTATTGCATCACAGTTCTTTATTTGAAAAAACAAGTTGTTTTCTACGTCTCTTGCTCTTAGCATATATGATCCTGTGTAGGTTGAAGGTCAAATCTAGTGATTGGAATTGAATGGGTTTGAATGCTGAGATATCAGCAGAAAGGTGTATTATACTATCCTACAAGCCCTGCACTCCAAACATTTACACTTATATACTAGTCTGCACCCAGATTCCTGCATTTCCATAACTTGCATTTTCCAGGTTCTTAGTTTTCTGTGCATCATCAAATTAAATTCAAGCACTTTGAGCTCACTTTCAAATCATGTAATGGCTGTACCCACAGTTCTTTGGCAATCTCCTCTTTACATCCTTTACCTCCGCAGGTCACATCACTGCATTCCTTCATGCTATTTCTGTTCCACTATTTACAGGCATCTCTTACAGCCATTACCAATCTGCGTGCCATCGCTCATGTTGCCATCACCCTCCCACAATTTAAAAAAAAATCTGCAAAATTCCTTCACTTCATGTTTTTCCCTTTTCTGCTGATTAATGTCCACCAGTTTTCTCACCTTCAAAAAGGATTTCTGTTTATACAGGGCACCAGATAAATGCAATATGTTGCATAAAGTTTTGTTTGATAAATCCACAAGAAATTGCCTTGTCAGGCTATAGTGGAGGTTTGCAATAGTCTTAAATACAACTGATAAGCAGTGAAACTGAACTTAGCTGACTACAAAGCAGTAAAAGTACAGCAGCATCGTACTCTAAAGTTACATAAAGAAATAAAAGTGTGCACACCCGACAGACATAATTCAAATATGTACTAATAGTTATGAAAGCACTGTTTAGTTAAAGATCATACATGTAATAAAATATATAGTTTATGAAACATATGCTATTAAACCTACTTCTGTTATAAATAGAAACTAAATTCTTTTCATCTTACTTTATTCCCAGTGCAAATCCTTGAACGACCTCTCCAGCATTTGGTCCAATGAAATGAAGCCCTAGAATACGCTGGTCACCTTCACGTAAGCAAACCATCTTGATATAGCACTGGGTAGCATCCCGTTCAGCTACTGTAAATTCCAGCGGCTTGTAATACGCATGATAAACCTAACCAAAGAGAGGTCAAAATAATAGGATGATAGACTGAAACAACACATGCCCTATTTTTGTTTTATTTATAAATTATATGTGTGTTCATGCGTGCATGTGTATATAGCTATATGTACATTCCAAATATATAACTTCAGTATTGTTCATACAGTATAAATCGTGTTTTTCCTTTCTATTATTATTTGTTGCAAATTGTCGTGAGTGTAAGATGAAAAGCTTTGACAAAACATGTCTTTTTTCAGTAATACTCAAGTTCTATACTACCAAACAACTAACTTATATAATGGTTGCATACGTATGTGTGTAAATAGTCATAGTGATTCCCTGCAGTGTGGTACATACTGTATCTATGATTAAAGACAAAATGTCACATTCAGCGTTAGAGAGGAGGGGTTAATTGGCCCAGGAAGTACAGAAACAATGCAGTGGCCATTTTACGTTACATATTTTTATAATTCCATTATAGATTCTTACATTCACAAGTAATATCACACAGAACTATCCTGGTCATACTCCTAGCAGTGGTGCTGCTGCAGGCCCTTGACTAATGGAAGGGTATAATTACCGTGCATCAAGTTTGCATCAGCAGTCACCATAATAAGTGTTGGTATAAAAATTAAAATGGAAAAAATTGACAGCAAGTTCCTTTATATTTAATATTTTCAACAAATATTTCATACTAATGTGTCACAGTAAAGCAAGCAAAGTGTATATGTATGTACATGTAATTCGGTCACCTTTTAAAAACTATATTCTGTCCTTATTTTTGTATTTCCATTACAAATCCCTGTCCACATGTATAATGGCAACGGTTGTGTATACTTGTTACAGCTATCAGTATTGGAAATTGAATTTCACAGCCCGATTCCATGCTCTGTGAAAACAATCAATGATTGGCAGTTTATCTGGCATCAGGCTGCGAGGCAACCAATAATTTGGCAGGACTGTGGCAGGGGACCTGAGGATTGGCTCAGTGTTGGATGGTGATCAGTAGTGAGAAGGGGGTAAGTTCTAGGATACACAGCATTTGTTGAGGGATTCCATAAGTAGCAAAATGGGTTTGTGATTTTCCAAGGCATCAGTGTAGACACTGAAACTGATGTTTTATGATTTCTTTGTCCCCTTTGCCTGTCTGCCATTCCCTCAATTGAAAAAACAAACATACTAATTACTATCAACAAGTCACAGCCAGTAACTACAGCTTTCAAATTTGAACTTGTTTCCTTTTTAAATTGAGAAATGTAAATGAGGAAATACTGTGTGTGTCTGCATATGTGTGTGTGTCTAACAGCTGCTAAGAATTGGATTGTTGATAATTTCTGTTTGCCAACATAACAGATGATCACATGAGATAACTAGGGGCAGTTTTGTTTTAAAGTTCAACACATTTATTTTTGAAAGTTTGACTGAATTTAAATGAGGGAAGCACCTGGTTTGTCTGAGTTTAATGCATTTTTTTAAGTTTAAAGGACTGAAAAGTTACAAAAGGCATATATCTGCTCGGTGTCCCACCTTCTTCCTGTTACCAGCAGCCATAATTGGAAAGAAAAACCCTATTTTTTTTTTTTTTTTAAAAAGTGAAATAGAAAATAAACCCTAAAATTGTAAAAGTTTGTCCTCCATTCGGAAAAGCTTTTGAGTGGAGGCTGTAAGAATATTCCAACAAGACAACTGAGTGGTTCTAATGTATATGTGGAAATAGGAACCACTGAAAATACTGCTGACACATCAACTGCAGCTCAGAAAATTCACAGTCTGTACTGAATTATCATGTCCAAGAGCAGAGACTTGTGGGAGGTTGAAGCGTTCAGACAAAATTTTCAACAAAATGCCAATAAAATACACAAAGTTTACTCCAGTGTTCTCTTATTCCTCCATCTAACTATTCATCATGCGTTAAGTAACTGTTCAGTTTGTTGGTATGTAATGTGGATTAATCTTGCTTTCCTTTGTTGCGAATCCTCTCCATTTCCATCAGGTCTTTTTAGAAGGATATAGTTCAAAACAGGATGCAATAGTTCACATGATTCTTTTACACAATATCTGTATCAGTGGCTGGAGCCACATGTGAGATTATAACAATTTCTGTACTTTTACTCCTTTCTGATTAAACAACAGATGTCATTCCACTCACTCTGCCTCTACTAACTTTTCATTCCAATCACAACACTGGTGATGAAGATGGTTTGCCAAAACCTAAATTGATAATTGCTTTTGCCACTTTTGCTCATTACAACTTATCCAGTTAAATATTTGCATTCTTTTATCCAAGTACTTCAATTTAAGACACAAAAACAATGCCTCATTACCATCACCTACCGGGCAAGACAGATTCTCCTAAAATTTCAGGTATGAGCAAGCTTCATGCTCTTGTATGGCTTTAGGATTCTTATCCTTATCCCATGAAATGTCAAGTTGTTTCCTTTACAACACCTGTGCTAACGTGGAAGAACTACTGTGGTTAAACATAAAAACTAAAACTGCATTCCATCAATTTTTGCAACCTACAACATTCTGATCTATATTAAATGGAGCCTATTTTAACTTTTCTTTTTAAAACAGCTAGCATCTTTTTAAGCACACGAGCTTGCGAACATCATGGTACAAATTTCTTTATATCAGGGGCTTGGGTGCAACAGATTACATTCAGGCCTCCTGGCAGAATTGAAGTTGCAGTATTAATGGACTCAATCTCATATTTTTGAGGATCCAATTTCTTACACTTTGCTTTTCTACAATATCACTCAGATATCAGCTATGGCTTGGTACATAGAGTTTGAGTCCAGAAATCTGACCACATAAATCAGTCAGTGCTGTCGGTGTACTCCTGTTAAGGGTATTGCTTTTTGCGGGGAATGCTAAATGCAGGCCCTATCAACCCTGCCTCGTGGACATATTTCAGTGTAAGTGCAGGGCCATTCTCTCCACTGCCCTAGTCAATACTTATTCTTAACCAACATCACTGAAATAGATTTTCTAGCCATGACTACATTACTGTTTGTGGGACCTTGCGATATATAAATTGACTGCTGCATTTTGTACAATAGTGGCTGTATTTCTTCAGTACTTCCGTGCCTATGAACCGTTTTGGGACATCACGATGACACAAAAGGCACTTCCTTGTTTCTTAACCTCTCAAAGCTACATTTGACTTCAGGCCAGATGAAGTCTGCTCGTTCATGAAAACAGGCCTTCTTAGGTGTAGTGCATTTGGAAAGTCTCAGCTCCTAGTTGGCACAGGTCCAAAGCACTAAATTGCCTTCAATTCCTCAGTAGCTCAGTCTCACACAACGAAGCCACAAGAATGTCTGGCACATGAAACGGAAATATGGTGTTGACACTGTGAAGATGTTCCTTTCGGGGTGAGATTTTACCCTACGCTTAATCAGTTGCAAACCTCATTTACAAGTACTTAGTGATTACACATCGTACAAAAGTGAAAGCATCTTATTTCTCAGAACTGATCTTACTACTTAGTGGGGAAAAATCCCAAATGGTGTACAAAAGCAAGTAGGTTCTGGTAAACCTTGCTAAATTATTGGTTACGCCCCAGTTGAAGTCTTGTATTTAATTCTGTACCACACTTGAGGAAGAATTTCTTGAGAAGGTTGGATTGTTCTCTCCTCAAGAGATGGTTAAGGGAAGGCTTAGTGATAGCATTTCAGAACTGAGAGATTTTCATATATGCAGTACTGATTATTTCCACTGGTAGGAGGATCGATGACTGGAGAACATAAAAATATGATAATTGGCAAAAGAAGTAGGTGGAAAGGAAGAGTTTTTTAAAAATAATTAATTCAGCAAGTGGTTGTGATCTGCACTATACTGTTTAAAAGAAGTTGGTTCGTTGTCATCTTTCAAAAATAAATAACTTACAGTTGAAATGAGAAATAATTTGCAGGCTATGGGAAAGACCAGAAAGGGAAGACCTAACTGGCTAACTCTTCCAAAGTACAGGCAAGCTGGACTGAATGGCTTCCTTCCATGCTACAGGATTCAAGAACTATTCAGCAACATATATTCACTTTGTAAACCTCTGGAGGACAGACTGAGGCTCACACAATTTGGCATCTGAAGAATTTCTAATTCTGTTTATCCCTGTAGAAAAAAAAAGTTTTAAAATTAGAGCATTTTTGTTCCTCAAATATCCTGGCCCAGGTGCTGCAAGAACACAGATGCAGAAGCATGAGATATTGTCTGGTCCTTCCCTTAAACTGTCAATGCATGCCTTCAGATGTGAAACACTGAAGATTACTCAACTGCAGAGGGATCATATCTAAGTTCCATATTGTTCTCTCCCAAAATCATGTGTAAGTTCAGTTCCAAAAGAGTCCACTGGATGGCAATCATGACTTGGTAGAATATCTAGCTCCATAACCCAGTTGTGTAGGGACCAGTATCAAGGATGGGGTAATCTAAATCACAGCTTGGAGCATGATTCTGAACGTATATTGTTGAACAAACTTACTGAACTAACAAGAGACAACTACAATCTCACCAAAATGTAGTTCAATTTAAGTGATTCTGCCATCATTAAAATGTAATCTCCTCTAGGTAACTGAGAATCATTTACAGTGCTAAGAAAACATAAAATCTACTATCGTGTAAAATGTGCAATTCCAAAATTGTCAATTCAGCCCCGTTCCTTCATACTGGATTTAAGGTGCATCTTTCTTACACCTCTTCAACAAACTGCATCAGCAGAACTTTCCATTCTTCTCCCACTCAAGCGTTTAGCTAGCTTTTCCTTAAAAGCAACAACAAAACAATTAATAAGACAACAGTATTATGAAGACACTCCTTAAAACTCCTCTCTTTGGCCAAGCTTTGATCTTGAAAGTCACATGGGTGCAAACCAGGAGCCTCTGGATCACGTATCCGGGGTTAGGTGATGGCCGAGTGGTATTATCGCTAGACTATTAATCCAGGGACCCAGCTAACAATCTAGGGATCCAGGTTCAAATCCCACCATGACAGATGGGAATTTGAATTCAATAAAAATGCCTGGAATTAAGAATCTACTGATCACCAAAAAATCATTGTCAATTGTCGGAAAAACCTCTGGTTCACTAGAAGGAAATCTGCCATCACCACCTGATCTGGCCCGGATGTGACTTTAGACCCACAGCAATGTGGCTGATGCTCAACTGCCCTTTGAAATAGCCTGGCAAGCCATTCAGTTCTACCAATCACTACAAAGTCTCCAAGAAATGAAACAGGGCAGATCACCTGACATTGACCTAGGCACCAGAAAAGGCAACAGCAGAAACAGCCCAGTCAACCCTGCAAAGTCCTCCTCACTAACATCTGGGGGTTAGTGTCAAAATTGGCAGAGCTGTCTCAGACTAGACAAGCAACAGCTTGACATAGTCACACTCACAGCATCATACCT